CTACTAATTGGGACTTTTTACCGAACTGGGAGCCATTCAATGAAGCCAATTTCTAGCTGATGGCTGCGCCACTTCTCTGTGCTGGTAGAATCACGAACAGCTAGGCCTATTTGCCCCCGTGTCTTTTCTCTAGATACCGGAGCGCTGGGAAGGTCAACGCTGAAAAGGCGAAGGTTAGCTCGTGACCAATGTTTGCGCCTTTGCTTCCAATCAACCTCGCGATCGGAGCTGTATACCAAGCTGTCTTCATTCCCAAAGCTGCGCCCATGAATCCAAACCCAAAAGCTCCGATGGCCGCCCAACCGAAAGGAAGGAGATTGGGCTGGTTCCAAGCATCCAAGTTATATCGACTCCAGCGATGCGCTCGGAAGATGATATGTTCCTCTGCAACGACGGTCAAATGAATGATTGTCCAGTACCCAATGATGCTCAGGAATGTCTGAAGGGTATCATTGAAGAATTCAGCAGCACATGCACCCACGATGACGGCTACAATAAAGCCAAGAGTGACCAGAAATATTCGAGGAATACGTGCCGCCCAAGGTCCAAAGTTCTGCGCATGCATGGCGAAGGAATAGTTGTTCGGGATGTTGTTCTACCTATTTTCAGCTCCGTGAACCTGACCAGAGTCTCCAAGATGACTTACTGGAATGGCACTTAATCCTGCAAGTACCAGAAGAAACTTTCCGAATCCTCCAGCCGGTTCCAATGCCAATTTGAGGGGACCTACAATGCCGTTCTCCTTGAATGCCAACTTCCAGTCTGGATTGATCTCAGTGCTAGTATACAGCGCTGCGCCTAAGGTCTGAACAAGGATGGTGGGGATGGCGATGCCCACATAGGTTGCAATGAAGATACGAGCCCTGGACGTGTTGACTGGCATCCTGACATTATAGTCGGCAGCGCAATTGATCCAAGACACAGCAAAAGAGAATATGACTGCAATGTACGAGAGTGACGCCGCTGCCCCATTTGCTCCGGACGGAGTCTTGATAGCATCTCCGGAGAAGTGCGAAGAACCGAAACCGGCGGTGAAACACCAAACCACGAACGGGGGAATCCAGAGGAAAGCGTCGAGATGATGGATCCAATGTATACCAAGGGCGCAGATGACCCAGACAGTGGTACAGATAATGACAACTCCGAGCCACGTCGGACATCTCCCGTCAGAGAGTGCATTAAAAACGGATGCCCCAGAGATGGAGTTCACGGCATTCCAGCCCGTTGTTGAGACCATCGAAAAGACGACAACAAGGAGATTGCCCCAATAGCCGAAGGAGTAACGACTGCGGTTGTCAACGACGCAATATTAAGCGTGCCCAGTGGATTCCTTACGAAAAGGACGTCATTCGCAATCCCGTCAATCCAAATCCTGCAGTCCATGCTGGGATCATGCAGCTGAAGACATTGACAACCACGATAATAGCAAAACAATCCCAGAACGACAAGCCAAGGCTGCCGCCCACGGATCCGACATTGAGGGTTGCTACAGCCATGTTGGCGCTCATCCTGGGAACATTAGCCAGCTGGTCTCAGCTTGCAAGGGACCAGCATACCAGAAAGTGCAAGCATTCCACACCTTGCTAGTGTTCTGCCGTCGTTGGTCCTCTGTCACCCGTGCAATGCCGCTCGTCTCGACGGTAAGAAGGATGTCTCTCAGCCATGGCTTGGAAAAAGCCTTGACAGACAGAGCTTTGCCCTCCATGGGGCCATCAACCACGTCATGAGCCTGGCTCTTCACCAGAGAGGGCTTGTCGTCGGGGTCCTGCTCCATGATGATGCGCTTTCGGTAGAATCTGGCTTGAAGGGAGTGGTAATATTCCTGCTGCGTTCCGTTGTCACATTCTGACCGGATTCGAGCTTTCTTTTATGCTTCATCTTCTCAGACTTTCTCAAGTCTCACTTGTTCATGAGTCTCTCCCCCCGCATGTGTTGATAAGACTACCCTTATCCAAGACGGCAATCCCGCAGGCCCAGATATCGCGACGCCCCCGGCATGCCGTGGGGAGCTGGGCGTGCCGGATCTGCCTGCGGGATCGCCTTAGGCCCATCTGTCAGCCTATTGGTCCACAAAGTTCACAACAATCAGACGGTCACTGGATGTGGTGCAATTTACAGAAAGCATACACCAAGGTCTATTATGAAAGGCGGAATCCGCCGTACTGCCAGAAAAGTCTACAGCTACTACCTCGGAGCACCGGTGGTATATATTTTCCCACGAAGTCCAACAATGTTCTCGCTTTCAGTTCGCCCATATCACAGTTCCAATACAACATCTATTAATCTCCGCCATCCACCAGACACTGAGCGATGGAGCAAAGTACACTCGCACGTCGTGGAGTCGGTTTTCGTGGCCTCGACCCTGACCTGGTATCCCCAGGTTATCTTCTCTATGCCCACCTGACCAGCCCGGGCACAGTTCGGTTGATTGCCAATGATGGAATGGAAGTACACCGCTGGAACCTCCCTTACCGACCTGGACGTCATGCTCGCATCCTCCCCAACGGAAACCTAGCTTACAACGGCGTTCACCCTGAGGGGCCAAGGTTATTTCCCATGTGGCAGAAGTACCGCGGCGGAATAATGATGCAGGTCGATCCCGATGGCAAGGTCGTGTCTGAATATCGAGATCCGCTGGCACATCATGACCAGCATCACCTCGACAATGGCCAGATCCTTTATACGACACTAGAGGCTCTCACTCCAAAACAAGCTGGGACAGTGCCTGGCGGCATTCCTTCCTCCGAGGCGCCAGACGGGAACGTCTACGCAGACTGCATCAAGCTCGTGGATCCTACCGATGACGGCAAGATTCTATTCCACTGGCGCGCCATCGACCACCTTGACCCGGCAAAGTTCCCTCTCCAACCACACTACGCGCGAGAACATTGGCCACTTATCAACAGCGTACACCTGCTCAGAGACGGCAACATCCTCGCTTCCCTCCGAAGCGTGTCGGCTGTCATCATCATCTCTCGTGAAACCGGCGACGTCGTCTGGCACCTCGACAGCACGGTAGTGGCCCAACAGCACTGCGCAAGCGAACTCGAAGAAGACGGCAGCATCCTGATCTTCGACAACGGCACCTTCCGCCACCACGAGAGCTCGACCTATTCCCGCGTGATCCAGGTCGACCGGGCGACGAAGGAGATTGTGTGGGAGTACCGCGACCGGTCCTTTCCGGGCGCCTTCTTCACCCCCTTTATGGGCGGTGCGCAGCGCCTGCGGAACGGCAACACGCTCATCACCGAGGCGGTGTTTGGCCGCATATTCGAAGTGACGCCCGACGGCAGCATCTGCTTCGAGTACATCAACCCGCATTTTGCGGACTATAAGCAGCTGAACGCGCCCGGGCTGGAGGAGATCGGCTTCGACTATCCCGCCAACGCGGTCTTCAGGGCCTACAAGTACACGCCGGACCAGGTGCCCTGGCTGCGCCTACCGAATTAAGGAGATGTTCACGCCTCCCTCCCTCATCGAACGGGGACCACTTCTCGTTACAGCGCTTTTTCCCCCAAGAGCCTAGGGAAGGGACAACAAAGGCTGTTGGTTGGGGGACATGGACATCGTCTCGAGTGCAGGAGGGAATTGAGTCGCGTCCATTTTCTCGCTCTTTCAAAATTACTCGTCAGTCATGGATTGCTTGTCTTGGGGGAGGCATCATGCTCTTTTCCACGGGAAGGGGCGTTTCGTTGAAAGTCTTTGAACAGATGCAGGGTGAATACACTATACTTCACTGCTCCATCAGAATCACTTGCAGAAATTCCACTTCGTGACTACTTGAGCAAGGCGAACCTTTGTCTGCAAGGAATCAGACATTCTACCGACGACTTTCTTCCTCTTCTGTGCCGCCGCCTTGGAGAACAACGTCTGGTCCCCAGAAGCTCACGATTTGCGATCCAACATGATACTCAAAGACGTTTATCTCCTTACATGCTCCTTCATGACCGCCACCCTCCCCCTCCCGCTCCTCTTCACTTCCCAACTTGCGAGCGCCGAACTTTTGAACGATATCAGCAGCGAATCCGAAATCAAAGTAGATGGCGGCATGATCATACCTCGCGGAGCAAAGATAAACGGCACTTGCGAAGAGGGGTATGAATGGACCGTCATCAGTCCGCTCTCAGCTCAAGGCGCCACGTGCTGTCCGACAGGATACCGAGGGGAGGAGGCAAAGATTTTGGGAGATCTGGCGGGGACGTTCTGTTGTCTAGAGCACGTTGACAAGATACCATGCGACGCCCACGATCGCAAAATGCCAAAGACACCGCTCACCTGTCCGCAGCCAGGAATGTTGATGGGGGCGCTATGCATGTATTATTATTGGTAGTGTCTCGTCCTGCCACGGATCATGCCAGGGAGGATCGAAGAGTTGGCGTGAAGCTGCTTCGGATGTAGCCAGTGACAACAACCGAAAGGCCGATAGCTTCATAGTGTTGCTGGACTCATCACACATGGAACGACGGGGCTGACTTATTGGACAGTCCACTGGAAAGATCCTTCTTGTGACAAGGCGGACCAGATTTCAGCAATCACTGACCTAATGACCTTGAGTTGAATGTGGACAGCATCCTAAAACGATTGCTAGGGCGACTGCAACCGGCCCGAATAGTAAATCATCCTTGACCCAGGTGGGTTCCAAAAAGTGGCTCCACAAATGCAGTTTGTGCCTGAATTCAGCCCGTCATCTGAATCAATGAGTCAACATAGTGGTAGTGGCGAGTGTCTGTGCTGTAGTACTCTGCTGTTGAAGCTTGATATCCATCCAGTTAGATCGGCCTTGCCGAGCTGACGACATGCTGAATTTGCTGAGACAAGGCTCAATTGCAGCCTTGTGTTGCTTCACTGCCAACCACCCTTCGCAAAAGTTACTCCACCGCTCAAGAGTACAAGATCGAGATCTGCCCATATAATGTCTCAATCCATGCCTGGTATCCTGTACTCCAAGATGGACCCACCTTCAGAATTTGCTCTTCTATTGAGCAGAGTCGTGCCAAAGCTCATGACTGCTTGTTTCTCTCCGCCGCCTCCTGTACCTTCAACCTCTCGACCAACTTCCGCCTCATGAAATCTGTTAAGCCCAGAATCCCGTCATTCGTGCATACACGATATGTCCCGCTTGGCTGATACCCGCCATGGCCATCGACAAATTTTCCGCGCCCATCAACTTCCACGCTCCCGAAGATATCCTCTGGCTCCGCAATGCGCCCGAAGTCCGGTATGTGCCGTTGGTCGGAGACGTGGACCCAACCTCCACGGCCAGCGCTGCCGTGGCCGCCCTGGTCGCTGGCGCCTGAAGAGCCCGTCTGTTGGCGACGGACGGTCTGGAAGAATGAAGAGCCGGATGAAGATATCATTACTGCCGCCTGGGATTGGACCTCAGGGTCGGAGGAGGCATTCTCACTAATTACAGAGTGAAGGATAGGGAGGAATTTGGGGTTTTCGGCAAAGGACCGAGGTGTGGGCGGGAGTTGTGACGCGGTGCCAATAGCTAGCGAAGGTGTAGGAGGATCCGTGGGGAGGAGGGAGAGGATGTGCGAGGAGGGGTTTTTAGGATCTTTGAAAACGTACTACTCAAAAAGTCAGTGGGATTGTGGAGGCCGGGCTTCGATGGGATGTGTGTAGACCGTACGATGTGAGGGTTGTTGCTCAACGTCGACACAGCCCGGAGTGGGACAAAGAGTCGTTGTGTTTGCCATAGCACCCGTCTTCCTGCAGTGATGTTCATGTTGTCCTTGGAAGTCCTCTACAGGACGAAGGAGTGGTGCTGATGTTGATCACATTATCCTGGGAGACGTTTAAAATCATTTCAGCGCAGAGCTCTCAAGCTCATTTCAATGACGTCGTGAGTCGAAGGCAGACTTACATAATGCCTCAGCCTTACCCTGAAGGATCTCAGCCTCGTCAATTGGGAATTAGAACATTGTCCCTCACCTACTACAGGGTTGTTGACGTTCAATAAAGTGGGATCGATTTTATTACAGCGATGTGAATGCGATAATTTTTGACATCAAACCATGCCTTAGTTCACAACCCGATATAAAAAATTGCAGTATTTTCCCGTCTCCTTCAGTTTCTCCTACTTCTTCATTGGCATTCCGATTTTCGCAATTTCCTTCCCGTCGACCCAGGTATCGACTTTATTCGGATAAAAACACAGCATGCCAATGATGCCGGCACTTTCTAGTGTCGGATTCTTGTACCACCAAGCCACGTCCTTAACTTCCTTGCCGTTGATCACGGCATTGTAATAGCTGGCCTCTCCTTTGTACGGACATCCCGTATGCGTATCACTTGGTGTGAGATGTTCCCATTTGATTGCTGTGCGAGGTAGATACCAGCGAGCGGGGAAGTTGGTTTCCCAGAGGGACATGACACCGCCTTCGGACCCGGTGTCGGCGAGACAGACTCCGTCGATCTCAACACGCACTTGTCGTCCGGAAGGGAGGATGTCAACTCTGTGGTACGGATCTTTAGGGTGATAGAGAACCTGTGCCTGCTCTTCATACCAAGCATCCAGGGCTTTGAAGTCAATTTTCACATAGCCAACCAGTTCCGAGTTGAATGAGTCGGGAACAATAAGCGAAGGGACGGACTTATTGCCGACGCTCAAGGTCGAGGTTGAAGAGTTTATGCCAGAAATTGGTTTGTCCTCCATGAATTTGACAGTGTCAAGGAAGTCGGACTTAGGGATCCAGTACATAGGGTAGTATCCGTTCTCCCACACCAATTTCGCGGCAGTGGTATCGAAGATGTATTTGCCATTGAGGACACCCCGGACACGCTTCTCAGTCCCGACAATTTTCGGTCGAGATTCCGGGTTGGGGCTGAAAAGTTTGGCACCGAGGGCTGCTAGACTGCGAAGATACACATTAGTTGATTTCAAGCAGGCCACGCGTCGTGTTTCTCTCACTCGGACATTGTTCTTCTCGGCCTGCTAAATGACTTTGGCGAAAGATGGTTGTGGGCCAGTTGTACACGTGTGATGGATCGACACGCCAGCTCTGTTGTAATTAAGACGCTCGGTATTAGATCTCAAAGAAGAGGCTGACAGCTGAAGAGTCGGAGATATATATCTGTTTGTTGGCGCAGGCTTGCAAGACGCACCAAGACGGTTCGATTCAACTTCAAAAGTGCCCGACGACGAAAAACTGGAATGACAAACCTGACTCGCTTGACGCTGTGGCTTGTCTAAAGAGGCAAGAAATATTCTGGGGTTCAGTTATACGCGCCGTGAACGACATCCATCCATTGATCACTAATAGCCTGAGCCTGCAGGGACATCTTCGTGTGGTGATGATGCTGACACATTGGTGAATGCCAACAACCATCTGCGGGGCTTGCGGGCGCGAACCGAGCTCCGGAGCGGTCTTGAGGTATAGCTAAAGCCCGCGACTGGGCATCATAGTCAGTCTCGGATTCGTCCCATGATCTTGTCCCTCTCAAGTAAATGGAAGATTATGGCATCAAGTCTGCATGAAGAATCGAAAAACTTTCCTATTCGGGTGGATGGCATCCCTGGCGCTCCAAGACTTGCCTCTACTGCTTTTCAATGGAAAATCCATTCGGTGCCATTTTTGAACGTGTTCATTCAAAAGAGTTATTTTCTTGTCGCTTTGTCAATGTCTTGATGGGCATAAACTGTGATCCAAGATGGGAGCATAGCACCATTTGTTTCCGAACACGCGTAGGCTCACGCGGCATATACTGAGGGACCTCAGCGCACCTCTTTTTCCCTAGTCTCAAAAACATCAAAAATAGGCATATGAAAGTAGAGTGCTTCTTTCTCCGCCGAACAAAGTATAGATGGCAGCACAAGCTACTGTGCACTCCTCAATGCCTGTCTATGCATTTGCCATTTCTCAATAAAGCTGGCCCCTTATTTCGGCAAATGATCCACCCATCAATCCAGGCGCAACCTCCGGGACTCGCACCAGGGTGCCTGACCCTTTACTCATGTTCATGGTGAGTTCCTTTCTCCGACACATATTCAGTCTGACTCCGAGTGCTCATGACGCTGCCTCGGCGTGCTGCACTGCTCAGTCGTCGTTGGTGTTCACCCGTCTCCTCGTAGTCGATCAAGACTTCTCCATGCTTTCCATAGCGGTGAGGTTCATGCTTAGCAGTCCATACAACCGTGAAGATGCTCTTTGTCTTATGGAATATCGTGTCCATTTCCTCAAGGGAGCGGTAGGCAGTTTCGGGATAGAAGAAGTACACGACAGGTACCATAGCCGCATTACTGGGACTTCTAGTTAGTTTTGACATCAAGCAACCAGTTCCCCTATTGTCCTTACATGACCGCAAAGACCAGATACGTTTTCCACTTGATCTGAAGATTCTTTCGTTAGCATGGGCACAATGTTAAGAGTCCCAGTGACAGTGTCTCGTCCAACCGCAATCACACCATTTGAAAGGGACCGGAAACATACCGAGCTGAAGCTAACCGGGGTAATCATCACTACGAGAAAGTTGAAAATCCAGTTAGCGGACGTGGAAGTCGCTGACGAAGGCGCGCGGATGCGCAATGGCACAATTTCTGAAGGATAGAGCCAGGTCATTCCAAGCCAACCGACCTATCGATTTGAGGTTAGCTTATACTTATATTAAGAGGGAAAAGGGTCAAGTGGAGTTCGGAAAACGCATGGGTGGTTCAGAGGGGAAAGGGAACCCACAGCAAAGAAAGTGTTGAAGATGAATAAGAACATGGCTGCAACTATCCCCGGGCCCTGACCTCCAATCTTGGTCATAACCGCGAGGACGATCATTGAGGCCGACTGACCCACGGCGCCAAACAGCATTAGCTTTCGGCGTCCGACTTTCTCGATGATGAAGACCGCAATCCACGATGCCAGGAAGTACTCAGTGCCATTGCAAGCCGCCAGAATGCGGGAAATAAAAGGCGAAAGACCGATCTCGTTCTGATAGATGGTAGCAGCGTAGTAAGTGATCAAGTTGATTCCCGACACTTGTTGCATTACTTGGTTGATATAAGCGAGAGCAACGCGGTGGAGATGACGGTTTTCGTCCATGGTGAACAGATCACGGAACGTCGCCTTCTCTTGCTCAAGTACTGTGTCCTTGATTGCTGCAAATTCGGAAAGAATAAATTTGTCTTGGGTTGATTTGTCGGAAAGGGCAGCGAGGACTTGGACAGCCTCTTCCTCTCTGCCTTTCAAGATGAGCCATCTGTAGAGTCTTAGCCATAAAGCACAAACATAAGGGAAGTATTCCAGGTACCTTGGAGATTCGGGTAGCTCAAGGATGAAACAGAGGATGATTAGCGCAAAGACAATTTGGAAGGCGATGGGGAAACGCCACGACGCTTGATTTTGGATGAAGGAAGCCCCCAGGTCAATCCAATAACTGAAACAAATCTGCGAAATGTCAGTATAAAATAGCAGACTCAAACCCTAAATGATGGTTTTCAGTTACCCCGCCTGTGATTAAGGCACCCTCGACCATGACGAGCTGGCCCCTTCGATGTGACTTTGAGCACTCTGATTGCCATGTCGGAACTGTTGAAGTATTCAAACCATTTCCCATCCCGGTGATGATTCGTCCGACGATCAAATGCGGTAGGCTGAAGGCCGTCGCTTGGAGGATAGCGCCGACAACCATGATTGAGGAGCCTAGGAAAATCGTTTTGCGCCGTCCAAGGATGTCACCGAGCCAGATGCAAGCAATAGCCCCGCAGAAACAGCCAAGGTTGTAAGAGCCGATGGAGATGCCTTGAATAGTAGATTTGTGGTTGGCTTGGCTCTGAGTTAGGCCTTGCAAGCCTTCCTTGGTTGTATCGATCTCTGGGAAGACAGAGGTAAAGGCCGGGAGAGTCAGGAGCCCTCCCATAACGCCTTGATCATAGCCAAACAGCCTCCAAAATCGTCAGTTTCAACCGTGAAATGCTGGAATCGGTGCGTACTCACAGAAAATCAATGCCTGCAATGATTCCAATTGCAATGTTGAGCTTGAGGCCGCGAAAGCCCAAGTAGCGGTGTCCGAACAACTTCATGGTAGATTATTTTGCAAGCAAAACGCGAAATCTATCTTAGTAGACGCACACAACGATAGGAGGTTGGTAGAAAGCACTCTTTATATAATAATTGCACCTCTTCTGGGGAACTGACGAGACTAGGTATGAACACGTCGAGCTCCGGGCTATAGGCCAAGAAAGAGAATTGGTCTAGCTAGCTGCTCCATATTTTCTGCCTCGTAATGTTGCATCGATGGAGACCGACCTGCAGTAGATGCGGAGAAAATCTCTTGAAGGCTCCTCAGGTTCAGTGCATCATGGATCGCCGGATTGAATAGAGCGTCCATTCGGATTACCCAAAGGGGTCATCCTCATGATGTCGGTGGCGTCCCGGACCGGGGTATGATTGATTCCCCACGAACGGTAAATCCACGTCGCATTGCCAACTGGCCCATTGATGCGATCCCTGCGAACCGGCGGAATAAGATACGTGGTACAGAAGTATTCTCCAACCTGAATATGGCGATCTGCATCGTAAGGCCAACCGGTCTTGCGGGCGGATGTATGTTGATTGCAGTGGAAATACTAGTAGCAGACCAAGTTGAATGCGCCGCCAGCTAGGGACTGCACTCCTCCCATTGGTAAGCAATAGTTGTTGGATTGTAGTGAGAAGGTGGCCGACAAGAGGGCTCTGGGTCGTTGGTATCGCGGTCCCATCTGGAATCTGGGCCGGGGCGCAAGCCGCTGGACAATCCATCGTGTGATGAGGAGACGCATCAGCCTGGTGCGGGTAGCCGACTGACCGTTCCCCATGGGACTTTGGCAGACCCCAGAAAACCTTCTAGAACTATTCTCAAAGTTACAGGGACCCATCAAGCCGTGGTTTCATCGTGTCCGGGCTTCCCAGACAGGAAATCCCGTCGCCGATGCTATGTATGTAGAACGTCCACCAGCCTTGCTTGGGTTATCAGCCGTTGAGCTAAAAAGCTTAAGGACCACGCAGTTTATTAGGTGAGGAATCACTGATGATGCACTGGTATGCCGACTTGTGTTCTGTGGCTGGACTTGATCTGGTCAAGTAGTACCGCGTGCCCTCGGTATTGAAAAAGCTTTACACAAATGCTGTGGCGTTTGTCCAATCAGACCGTATTGTTGCACATTGCAAAGGTGATGAGAAATATTCGAGTCGTCGACATAGTCTGTAAGCTTTGGAAGTTGTCACCTGCGCGCAGAGGCTTGCTCTAGAAGCCATTCAACCATCAAGCCAATATCTTCCGTCACCTCCAGAATTCGCACGATCTTGGACCGAACGCCCACACTATCTGCGGCATCTGTGTGGATTCCGCGCAAGTCCCGAACTTCAATTTCGCCACCTTGACAGATATTCAAGGACAAGAAAATAAACGGGGGCTTTGGATGTCTTCTAAGCGGCAGGCGCAACGGGATGTACACATCAAGCCTTGCCTTTGGAACATCAGAGAGCACATCCAGGATCAAGTCGATTGGCAACGGCTCATCAGGATCCAGCTCGCCATTCGGCTTCACGAGATCATCGAGGGCAGAGCCGGGAGTCTTCTTGTTCGTACGCTTTAAGGGCCGGTAGGTGGATTCTGAATTCTGTTTCCTGGTGGATTGGGCCGCCGTTGACGGGCTTGCCTGTTGGTTACCCTCGTATTCAGCTAGACTCCGCAGAATGCCCCAAACAACGGCGTACTGTCGAATAACAGGCAACACAGCTGCAAGCTGTTTGGGATGGTTAAACTTCAGGTGCTTCACAGGATAACACCATAGGGGCGGAGCGTGCCGGGAGGATTGCAAGGAATATGAATGCCGTCGCAGCCGGGTTGGATCTTTATCGTCAGCAATCGGTAAGACTCTAAGCCATCTCTCCTGAGGGACGCTTCTGATACCATCGACTGCGCCAATGTCGAAGTGTTTATGCAGCGCC